AGATATCTCCTAGCCAGTGATATATACATGGAACAAACAATTTGCAATCTTTACTGTACTATTATTGGGCATATTAAACTCACAAATGCCATCATTCTGGAAAACTAATACACAATAATAATGTCATTCAATTCCTTATCACTATTAACATTTAATTATTTGCCAACCTTTATCCTTGAGATTGTTGAAATTACTGGGTTTCGCTAGAAACTACATATTTTTTCTACCTCTTACTATACTATTGTCACTTAGTAAATTAAATGCCAAATTATCTCCTGTGAAAAAATATTTAATCCCAGCTTGCTACATGTATACACCAGTGTCATCAATACCCCTGCTTCCCTCCTTAACTCCCCATTGGCTTATTATATATTTTAATTTAGCAAAAATAAAAATGACTACTTTTGCCAATATGGCGAAAGCTTCAAAATTTTCCACAATACACCTTCAACAGCAAGCCATTTTAAGTGTACACACAAACTTTATTAGGTGGCACATACATTACTAGTAAGCATTTGACTTAAAGAAAATTTGCTCTTTTAGAAAAATTGGGCTAAAGTACAATTTTTTCTGCTAAACATAAAAAAAAAAAAAAAAAAAAAAAAAACATACCAAAAGGCTAAACGAGATAAAAGGTTATGGTTAGCCCATGCAGTTTACCACAGAAGACAGCAATTCAAAAACAAGGCAGCAAAGCTGTCAAATGTACAGACAAAAAACAGAAAATAAAGATGCAAAAAAGGTAATTTTCTCAATTTTGATGCAATGATAAATAATGCTTATAATAGCACTGTCAGTCAACACTGAATTTTAATCATGCACAACAGGTAACATGTCAATAACAGGAGCGAACCCAGAGATATTTTCTGACAGTATTCGAAAGTATTTATGTTGATCAATCCTCCATTTTGATGGTCTTCCAACAGAAAAAAATAGATACCAGTCAATATAAACTTAATAACCTGACTGTTTTCCGGAAGACCCAGAAGATGGTCTCAATCCACCCCTTCAATAAGATTACAGTTTCAAGACCATGAAAGTTCAAATTCACATGATGAAAGTCTCAATATTTGAATAAATATGTAAAAAATAGGTCATTTTGTCAATTTTGATGCAATAATAAATAATACTGTCAATCAACACTGAACTTTAATCATGAACAACAGATAACATGGTCAATAACAGGAGTGAACAGGAGAGATATTTTCTGACAGTATTCCAAATTATCTTTGTTGATCCATCCTCCATTTTTGATGGTACTCCAACAGAAAAAATAGATACCCGTCAATGTAAACATTAAAATCTGACCATCTCCCAAAAGGCCCAGAAGACAGTCTCATTCAGCCCCTGCAATAAGATTACACTTTCAAGACCACAAGAGTTCAAATTCACATAATGGAAATCACAATATGTGAAAAATGATAACAGTGTATAAAATAACATTACATAATGTTTAAAGACATAAAAAAACCAATACAATTGCTCATGTGGAAACAAAGAAAATGCACAGCACTTCTGGTGGATGGGAGTTAAAAATCACATTTTGAAGATGCTGGTGTTTGAAAAATAATTAAAAAAATTTTCTTAAATAAAATGTAAGAAATTCCAATAAAGCTGCTATTCAAACTTTTCATCTAGCTGTATTAACTTGATATGAATAACCCCACCAAGTTTGAGAAAAATAAGGCACTGTTATTCATCTAAAGCATGTTGGCATAACACATTTTTGTTGTAAATTTATTTGCAATATTAAGCACCATTTATCTGCATAATTATCACCAAATCCTAATTAAATGTGACACAGTTAAGAGAGCTAAACCTACGGGACTTTACAGGGAAATCTCAACGAGTGTTTTATGTAATCTCATTTAATGGCCAATTGAAAACTNGAAAAAAAAACGGCGTAACTGCCCTAAATATGGCCCAATCATGCTGATTATCAAACTTGACCTGCTAATTATGAATATTCATCAGTTTTGTAAGTTTCAAGCCAAAAAGTAAAATGATTTTCCACTTATTGTGTTATCGGTGCTGCATATATGCTGAAAAAAGTGAAAAAACAGCATAACTTCCCTAAAAATGACCCAATCATGCTGATTTTCGAACTCAACCTGCGTATTATGAATATTCATCAGTTCTGCAGGTTTCAAGCCAAAAGATAAAACGGTTCTTCACTTATCGTGTTTTCGGTGAAAGTGCACGGCGACGACGACAGACGCAGATGATGGCTATATGTACAGACACATCTGTGTCTGTACATAATGACTGCAAATAACTAGAAATCTACAGAAACCTAATGGTCCAATCCCAGCTTTTAGAGTGCATTCCCAGAGATTTAGATCGATCCAGAGATTTAGATTTAGATCGACCTAACTCCCTGGGGGTTCACGCTAAATTGCAGTCAGCCGAGCGCGCACCATAGTTAATTACCCCCTTACATCTTTTTAGTAGGCGGAACAGACGCTTAAGCCGGCTAAGCTGACAGTAATCTAGTGAGAGTCCCTACAGGGATAGATCGATCTAAAATCTATGGGAATGGGGTCTTAAACTGTCCACCACAATTCTCTTTTCACAACCAGTACCTCATTAAGAAATCTCTTCAACTATAACATACTGTAACAACCATCATCCTACAGTTTCAGCAGAACATTTTTTATGGTTTGTTGCACTTATTCAAGACATTGGTGAAGCATCATTAAGATTCTATGCCAAGACTTTAAATACCCACTCCATTAATCTGTGTTCACACATTTAAGGTTTCCTCTTCACGTATTAATTTACTCTGGTGTAATACCATAGAGAATCCCAGTCTGGCAGACATGTGTGGCTCTTTGCACTTGGTAAGACAAAACTCTTATATATGTACATCATTCTAAGACAATGAATTATTAAAAGAGTATAGTTTTAACATTACATGTTTTAGAAAAAAAATTTATAGATGAAAAATATATTGGGTCTGACATACATGTAATTTAATGCCTTATAGAAAGTTTTGGTTTTCCTTGATCTTTCATTGGATTAGCAACTATGTAACTACTAGTATTTAATTCCATTTCATTCTATTTAATTTCCAAAAGTTTATAAGGTCTTAGGATGTTATGTAATTTTATGTGTCATGAATGTCATTTGTTTTATTATAACTACATTGTTCAAATGTGTTCAGGATGTATACTTATTATATAAATAGTTTACAGGTCAAGTTAAGGAGGTTGGTTTGTACACAATCACAAAAGGTTACACATTTAAATGAGAAGCAGTATCTTTGATTTAGAAGTACATCTGTCTCAAAGGTGTTTTGAAATTGTCCTCGTCCTTGAAACTATATCATTCACCTTGTTCAATCAGATAAAGTAATCAGTCTGGAAGTCTTCTCTGTCAAGTGTAATTGAATTAAAGTGACCATTCGGGCAGCCCACCTGGCTGGGAAGCCAATGTAATATAATTGTATAGGTGAAGATATAAAATGACAGAAATAAATGTAGGGGTCAGTAATCTGTATTTATAGTTGCTATATGGAAGGAGAGGAAGAAATTATTTGCTCGGTTTAATAATTGGTTGGTGTTGGTAGCGAGAGCGGGAGTCACCATGTGTTGCTCGAGCAGGAACACCTTGACAACCGAGCGGCGCGTAAAATGGTAAAATACTGAGATAGATACTTGAGCGAGGTTGGTAATTATTGAAGGTGGGGTCAGAAAATAGTATTTAGAGAGGACACTGAATGCTGATCTCTAGAAAGCAAAACTTGGCATCCTAGTGAAGTGGTTGAGACATAATAGTGGAATGGCTAAACGAAAAAAAATCTTGACACAGCTAATACTAAATCAAATCAGAGAAGCCCTCTAAAAAAATAAATAAATAAATAAATTTGACCATTTAGACAAAAAATCCAAGATACGTTAAAAAAATCCAAAACAGGTTTTGTTTCACTTCTAACAGACTGATCTCAATATTAATGATTTTACTTTGCAGATAGGCCCTCATTTCAAATGTACACATTTCTAGAAGAGAAGAAGATTGCAGCTCTCGTGCAAGGAATAATACTCTGACAATCATAACATCTAGAATATTGAGTGAGTGTATCTCACAGACAGTATGGTAATCACTTATAACATGGATATTGCTGCCATTAAACTACCACCATGGAAAACACGACTTGGTTGGAACAAGTTTTGCCTCCTATGGATACTACTCATGTTTGGTGGAATATATACAGTCGCAGACGCCACTAGAGACCATCACAAACTGGCAGAAACAGACAAGATAATCTCACTCTTAAGGCGCTGGATTCGTCAGCGCACAGAATCAATCAATTTCATAGAAGAAAGAACTGATTATGACAGGAAATCCCATAATCAGCTAGGCGCCAGCAAGGTAAAATGGCAGATTAATAGGCCTCACACATGCTGCTAGTGCTAAGTCAGAGCATTATATATATCCTGTGTTGGTCAAAATTTCATAATGTACTGCACAAGATCATTTTTAAAGTTAGTCCATATCTAAGGCATTAAAGAATGCTGAAATCTTCCTAGTTAAATTGAAATCAGAACAAAATCCAAGAAACTTCAAATATATATTGACAGAAGCAGCTCAAAGCAGTTTTAAATAACATCAAGTCTATCTTTTTTGAGCCCATTTTTGAGGTTGTTTGATTTCAGTCTTTCTGTGCAGACCAGTTTTATATTTCATACAATCATTTATGATTATTTTGTAAGTACTTAATTTAAATCTGTCATTTCATAAAATTATTCATCATTTTCTTTTAACACTTTAATCCAATATTTCAAAACCCAACTTTTCCAGACACTCACAATTTAATTAGCCCTCTGACACAGGGCTAACTCATTTTTGAAACGTTTTTAAATATTTTTAATATATCCGGGCCAAACACTTTTGGAGAGGGGACAGAGAAGGGATATTCATATTATCAAGCTTCTTTGAGTAAATACCATGGTATTACAAATCAGGACATAACGTAAAATCTCTTTCAGCAAAAGACCACAAAGCACTCGACTCTTTGCAGAGCCAGTTCCAGGTGCATAAACATGACGATATCTCCTATCCCTCCCTGTATAGCTGACCTTAAGCCCTACTTCACAAAGTACCTAAACGTATTTGGTGTCCATATTGTGGCAGTTGAGGACATACCTGACACCAGGGTGCGCCACACTGCAAATATCATGGCGGAGTACTTGGACAATGATGGCGATGGAAAGGTGGATAACAAAGCCATTGTCAGTAAACTGATAGAAAATAAGGCTCTGTTTTCGTTGTTCAGGTAAGGCTAGGGGGAAAAATTAACAGCTTAAAAATTGACAAACCCTAAAATATTTTGACTGGGAACTAAACTCAACCAAAAAAGTTTGGAAACATCATAATTGAAAAACTATGTTATGTAGTGAGAAGTTAAAAGAATGGTGGATGTATTATCCATCAATATTTGGTTAAAATATTTACCTTTAAGTTGGCTCATATAGTAATTTTATAATTATTCAAAATAACAAAGTTTCCCAACTTTTTTGAGCGAGTGTATTATATGACCACAGTATATATACAGCAGACTCAACATAACTCATCAGTTTAACTTTGTTATTGCTTAGTTAAAATAAATCTTGGGGATTGGCTTTTAATTTTTGGTAGAAGTTGTATATCGTATATAAATTGCCTAACATCTTTGAATTATCAGGAAAAAAAGGTCCAAGAGTTATGGAGGTCTACTGTAGTGTAAGTACTTGACCAGAGTACCAAATTCTACTGTTTATCTTTTGGTGTTTCAGTAAGAGTTAACCTTGTCTGAAGATTAACTTTTCATTGGAAACATCATCTTATACATTTCAACATAACATACAGAATGAATTTTATCACATCTAAAAAAAATTTAAAAAAACATTCTTTTGCAGATCCACAAGTCAAATGAATACTATGCAGTACAAATCTAGGAAAAGCATGGCAATCTTCAAGTAAATTATTCTTCTTTTTACTTCATTAACATCAAGCTCTAGGTATCAGGACAATCCTTCCCCCCCACAAAAAAAAAAAAAAAAAAAAAAAAAAATGTGCATACACATGCTAATATGCAACCCCAGGATAGAGAATATTAATATCATCAAACAAATTATTTTATCCCAATTTCATTTCCATGCAGTACAAATACAGAAAAATTAGAAATAGAAGTACAGAAACTTTTATTAAAAATCTGGTCAAAGTATATCTCCGGGTGAAGGTGGGGGTACATGGACAATCTCGTTCATCAGTGTAACCCTAATGATGAATTCACGAGCGGAGTCTCACAGGCATTTTTTTATTTCTTTCTTTCAGGGCCTACAAAATGGAATTCAACCTGTTCAAAAATGACGAATATCTCAATGAATCAGACATTGACTTCACACTGGAGGAGACACTCCATCTTATTACAGGTTTCGGCTTCGCCTTTGCCTTTCCTGCTGTGTTTGGCGAAAACAGTGGCTCCACCTTGGGGAAAATTACACTGGAGGCCATTGCGGATTGCGGACTGGCATACAAACATACATACAAGTGAGCGGCACAATGAAATATTTTTTTGTAAATATTATCTTAAAAGCACAAATACTATACATTCAAATACTTAATGAGGACATGGGGCCAGTTTTACAAAAGAAATTAGACCTAAAATTGGTCCAAAATTAAGACCAAACATTTGGTCTACTTTACTTTAAAACAAACTAAAATTAAGTTGTGCAATAAAATAAAAGTATTAGTAGACTAAGTCTGAAACACAATCTATTTCATGTTATAAAACAGACCCTATTACTGTATTTCATTTAATTGGACTATCATTGCCAATTATTCCTGAATCAAGGCAGACTAAAATTTAAGTCACTAAGTTTAGTCCAACTTTCTGATTAAAGGTCTTTTGTGAAACAGATGCTGGATGCAAACAAGATAACAGTGTGTTCCAAAAAACTTTTACCTGCATTTAAAGCAATCAGTGTTTGTAAGTGTGCTAGTGTTATGTAAAATTTTAACCTTTTCACTAGCCCAGTGTACCTTTAGGTGGTCGACTGCCTTATAGGTTGCTAGTATTCCACTGCTGAGATTAGGAGCACATTCTGAACAGTGGACTTACAGATCTGCAGATCAAATAAGGCAACCCATTTTAAAGTTTGCCACTGAGTTCCTTATTAGGCGATTCCCAAGGGGTTTACACATTCAACAAGCATTCAAGTGGGTCTGCCATATTTGATCTGTGGATCTGTTAGCCTGCTGTTCTGAATATGCTCTGAGATGACGTCTTAAGACAGTTCTTTCTGCAACTTCAGATGGCCCTATTGTAAGGGTGTGTACCACTATAAGGACCCCACCTGCAAGATGAACTGCCTGACTTCAGAGTTGATCTACTGGGGACTGACCTCTATCCTGGGGATACAGAAGAAGCCTGTCAGAGCAGCGTACATCAGTAATGAGTGGGAACTGTACAACAAACTACTACTCAGGACCAAGCTACCTCAACTCTATCATTTGCTCACCGATCCCAAGTACAGGTTCCCCACTGTGGCTCCTGTTGGTCACTATGGCAACACTTGTTAAGCTGGTCAGTAAAAATGCTTGTTTACAGTAGCTGGTCAGTGGTCACTATGGCAACACTTGTAAAATTTGCTAGTGGTCACTGTTTCAAAATTCATTAAAATTGGCCAGTGTTCTCTGCGACAACACTTGTTAAGTTGGCAAGAGGCCACTAAGGCTATATTTTTAAGTTGACCAGTGTCGCTATGTTAACACTTGGTAAGTTGACCAGTGGATTGAATGACAGAGGTCACCACTTCACGTGACTGTCAGGTGACCAAGGCACTTTATTTTAAGCAGAACATGGATATTTTATTCAGTTAAATAAAAAAAGGCAGTGCACATGTCCACACAAGACTCTAAAACTTGCACAGACACCTAACTATGGAAAAGAAAATTACGGCGTTCTTTTAAAAATGTTAGAAAACCTAGGTTGTATTGAAATTATTATTTCTTTTATATCTCACGAATTCCTGGCTATCCTAAATTTTTACATCAATATTTGTGAGGAACCATTGGAGATATCCTGTTCACTGACATACAGACACAACACTATGAAAACACACCCTCCTTTGCTGGTGGAGATGATAAAGTCATTGAGGCTGTTGTGTCAGTTAATCAGTCTGGTATAATCAGCATTTTATTTCCCAACAGCATTATTTATTAACAAATCCAGAAACTGAGGATGGTAAGCGCGGGAATTGTAAAAGTAATAAAAAAAAAACTATACTAATCCTCTGCTCACAAACTATTGGACTACAATGAACCAATAAATATACAGATATTACAAATGTTCTTACGTTCTTGTTAATCTTAGACTGCAGTATGGAATCATATTAGATTAAGTTGCAGACTCCTGGATAGGGAAAACAAAAGTAATTGGTATGTCATAACATGGTACTTTACCTAATAGTAGGGTCATTTCTCTGTTAAAACTACCACTAAATGCCGAAAAATTACTTTGGCAAAGCAAACAAAAGTATCCAAAATAATTTCATTCATCTATCAGCATCTTGACATCAAATTTTGATTTGGGAAAAATAAATACAGTAATTTGCACCAATTTTTTTGTCTGAGTGAATCCTATTCACATGTGCCTACCTTGTGCTGCAGGGATGTTCTGCTTTTCCTCAGATTGCCTGGTTGTTTTTGTGTGACCTGGGGAGTCAACTGAGGCAGGTGGAGTCTCAGACGATCGTCTGGACTTTCTTGTTGGAGCTGGAGAGAGATTTGTCTCAGCTGATCTTCTGTTCTTCCTGATGGTCACTGGTGAAGGAGATAGCACTGTGCCTGTGGGCAACTTTCTATTGTGGACTCTGTCTCCAGACTTAGGTCTATGATTCTGAAACAGCAACAAGATGATCATGATAGTATTGATACTAAAGAAATTACAGCTGTACTGAAAAGTTCCCAAATGATAACCTATTAACATTATTTTTTTTTACTTAATAGATATATAAATGAAATATTATAAATTGTGTCATATTTAGTGCATCAGGGACAAAGATTGCAACAGCATTTATCATACAGTAAAAAAATTTTTTTACAAGCACATTATGCAAACTAATCTGACCACAATGCCCCCCCCCCCCCCCACCTCCTCCTATCCCCTTCCATCCCACCACCCTGTCCAATACTCACCTCACCGTGGTGTAGTGTCCTAGGTCGCCGTGACCTGTGTACAGCTGAGGTGGGCGTGGCACACAGGCCCAGTTCCTCCACAGTGACAGCTCCTTCCTCAGAACCCTGCTCATCACATGTGGGCTTCTGGTCTTTGCTGTCAGCACCACACCCACCATGAGACCTGTTTTTATCTTCTCCAGACTTGCCAGGATATTTTTCAGACTGGATGTGGTCAATATGGTCATCATTCTCAGTCTGAATTGTCACAGAAGCTTCAATGTCTGTGCTAATTTCCTCATTAAGAACATTTGCCTTAGTAGCTGCAGTAGCAGTTTTTTCAGTGCCGATGGCACTGTTACTGACACTGCATTTATCAACTGCATCCTTGTTTTTGTCATCGTCACCAGTCACAAATCCCCCTGCAATGTCTATTGCAGCATTGTAACAATTATTGACGCATTGTATTGATGTGTCATTGATGATGGAGACATGACCTTTGGACTTAATGGAGCTGGTGGGAGTAATGATCTGCACTCTTCTCTTCCGTTCCTCTCTTCCTTCCTTTGTTTTCTTACAGCTAGTGCAAGGATCATTAAAGGAAGCTTCTGAAGGCGACTGTTTAATGCCCCACCTGAAATTAATCTTGGAACTTTTATATCATGCAAGACTTGAAAACGTGTTAGAATCTGCATGGGAATGATGTGTTAACATTTCAGCAAGTAGTTAATAAATTAAAAAAAAAAAAAACAAAAACAACAAAGAGGACTCGAGAGCCTGGTGAGTTTATACTGTTGCACAGCAATAGACTGTAATTAGAGAGAATATACATATTACCCACCTCTTATTTACAGCAGCCAGTGCTTTCTTTTTCACATTCTTAGCAGTGACACTCCGCGTTCTTCTCCCTGCTGGCTTAGAAGTTGTTGTCGTAGGTGAAGACTCAAAATCATACACAGCATATGGATCTTTATTGACAGATGGAACTAGGTTTTCCTTCTGAACAGAGGCTAACTGATGGATGGACTCCTCAAGGTCATGGCTTTTATTCTTCTTCTTTGTCTCTTTAGGAGAATTTAATTCACCTCCTCCTAAAATCAAAATCAGGTTGTTTTGACACTAGGGGTTTCTCCAGGATTTGGGATACAGGGAGTTAAAAATCTTAATCTGTAATCTCATCACAGATTTACAGGGAGTCCAATATGGGTACGTCAAGTTACTATCATTGTTAAAGATAGGTGAGAGTATCCATTTGTTTGGCATTGTTCTCTATGAAATATAAAAACTTTGAAAAAAAGAAGCCAGTGAAAAGGTACCAACATGTAATAATATTGTTTACCATGATCAGGAAGCATTCTGCTAACTCATAAGTGTCAAGAATGTGTTATATGTGATAGTTATCTATATGACTTGTCAACTGACCCTCGTGTTGTGTGGCTGTGTTCTGGGCCAACAGCCTCTTGAATCTCTTACACATGAGCACCACGTTGGCCAGCTGACGGTTACTCTGGACGTCTCTCGCGTGGGATGGAATGTCGCACACAGGGCAGTTTTCACCTAACTGGTCAGATATACAGCTCCTTGAAAAAGGCAACACGAGCAGACTATAGTGATAAACATGATAAATTCCAGATTCTGAAACTAGACTTTCTTTAAATAAATATTTGCCAATACAAATGTTGAGCCAAATCAAGTTCTGAAAGAAAAAAAGAAAAAGAAAATGAATTTTTTTTTTTCAGTGAACTTAAAATTTGTCATGTGGCCAAATTTTGATACAGTGCACAAAGATTTTTAAAAATATATTCAATTATTCTCAAATATATTTTTGAGCCTAAAAATATTATTCTTAGACAAAAATAAATAAATAAATAAATAAATAAATAAATCACAAGATCACACTATGTTATTGAAAGGCTTAATTTACCTGCAGAAGCAGTGCTCACACCCTCCCAGCATACATGGGTTGTCAACTAGGTGATGACTGCAACACAATATGTCATATGGATGAAAACATATGTCAGAAAATTTGGGTGTGGTTCAAATCAATTTGATCCCGTTTTGTAGTGCCATCTATTGGGGAATAAGGAGTTTGTGTCAACGATCATTTGATGGATTTAGTATGCATGTGTAATTACAGCTGATTGTAGTATATAGTTACTGAAACTGACATGATTTTGGGTTGTAAGAAAATACTGGGGAGCAATGGACTTGAGGCCTTGCAACTGGGGGAATGAGGCCATTTACAAGTAGGTTAGAATTTAGAAAGTATTTTAAAAAATCTGATTTCTTAATCTCATTGAAAACCTAAAAAAAGAAAAAATAAAGTAAAATAAAATAAATAAAATAATCCTAAAAAAACTAAGAGTTTTAGTAAAAAAAAATTGTTTCTAGACTTAAAAGCATAAAAACCTAATTTAATGGTGTTCGAGAATTTCAGTACCATGATTGGGTAGGCGCCGTAGCCTAGGCGTTCTCAGTAGTGGTCCACTTTAGGCAGCAGTTTAGTTACTCACCAAATATCGCAAGACAGGAGGTTTTCCAGCTCCCCTATTGCTGTGTCACATTTTCCCCAATCGCACATTGCTTTAAGTGACGGCGAGTTACCAGAAGCAAAGGGGGGTTTAAAGTAAATTGAACGCTTATGATTATCACCCGCGCCAAGTTTCAAATTGACCTTGACCTGTTGATGTCCCACAATGCAATGCGTGAGGAGACCAACCTGGCAAAACGCAAAGTGTAGAGACGATTTTCAAGCCTTTTCGCAGACCAAGTTAGTTCTAAGCTTAGTCTTGTTTAGTAGATTATATAGATATTCTCACAGCATATCTCTGAGTTTATGCATTTGCCCTTTTTATCAAACAATTTAGCGTTGAATTTTTTCAAGTTAATTATTTTTATACCTGTCTCTTCAAAATCCCGATATGACCCAATTTCCGGTCAATAGTGTTTGTTGATTACGGAAAATTCCCCCTTAAAGCATGACACAAGAAACGTAGCAACTGAACTATAGTTTATGAAGCTGGAAGTATATGCGAAATAAGTAAGTACGCAACAGAGCTAAGCTGGTGCTTAAAGAAATGCCAGGTTGGTTAGTAAAGCGCCATCGGTTATAAGCCAAGGCAAATACAGAGGGGCTGGGGTAGGGCTGGGATAGTTCACGTCACTTGTGACTCCCTTGTCTGCTTTTTACACAAGAAGTACTGCCAAGACTTTGGACGTTAACTTAATCGATATTCTAAAGAAGTCCCCAATATTTAAGTGTGGGACCGCAATGAGTAAGTTGGGATTTTTTAGCTCATGAGAAGCTTGTGACTTAAAAATGCAGAGAGGAAATACTGAAAACCAGTCCCACTCTCAATGCCTCCCTCTGAGAGAATAATGTGTATATATAAGATAATGATGGGATTTAGGATGAAACACAATTCCTCTTTAGGTGTCCATGTTATGTTATGTCCATATATATAGGATACCAAGAGGGATGCTGTTGTACCGTTAATACTATTACCATTTTAAAAATCATCCATAACAATAATTGTACGTTATAGACAAATCACACAAGAAAAGCACTTAGTCTTGCTAGATTGGATACATAATGATGTCTTTTAGATAAAGAAGTACAGTGTTCTACTGAATACCACAGGACATGTTGAGTAAAAAAAGTATAAGATCTGCACAACCTGAGATAGCATACTCAAGGGCCAGTATGTGTCTTTACAGGGTTTATTTACACCTTGAAATAATTTATAAATATTTGATGTCTTGCAGTCTTCAATGTTCAAAGAGTAGAACAAGCTCTACTTTGTATGTGAAGATTTTCATAATAGATTAGCATGTGTCATATAGCCTTTTCATATAAAAAATAAATAAATAAAAAGTAAGATAAAAATAACTAGTATACTTATCTTAAAATGAGACAAGTTGGATTTTTAATGGAAACTTGCGTCTCATTCCCAATGAAGCTGTCAGTCTCCATAGTAACATGAATCCATCACTGGGGGGGGGGGGGACACCTTGCTGAATGCAATGTAATAAAATAAAATTCTGACTATATCAGTGAGAGTCTGTGTGGAGTTGGATTGATCAGTGTAGACCAGAAGTATCAATGGGAATAAGCCCTTATAAACTAATTTAAAGAGCACAGGTAGCAGTTTGATAAAAGATTGTATTGAAAATGAAATCTGCCCTCAACCTGCTAACCTTATCAAGGCTTGTGCTAATATTTCATCTGCAAAAACTCCCTCGCCATTGATCCCCGTGTGATGCCCAGTGTCTGTGAGGGCAAGATGTACCAATAAGGTCACTGGTCTTCCTACATGTCACTTTGTCATGCCAAAGTACATTGCACTTGCCACTTAAGCCAAATTGGGTATGTATCAATATGGGTACTGTGTGTCTGTTGCTTACTAGTAAATAGAATTCAGAAAGTTTTGATGTCATGGGTCAGTTAGGTGAGATTTCATTACATATCAAATTGATAATATACAAAAAGATGAATTTTGAAATTACAGTAACTGGTTAGAAAAAGAGCAGGGGGGTTTACACAGGGGGTGGCTTGAGAATGCTGTTAAGAGCAAGAATAGATTGTGGCCAATATACAGCTGGTAATATATATATATATATATACTATAGGTTTTTTTTTTTTTTTTTCATTTATCAGGAAGCTACTAGTAGATTGTTTTTTCCCCTTACTTCAAAAATTATTTTAAAACAATACAGTGAGAGAAATAATTAGGTATTGAAACAGCACTGTTACTCTCAAAATCAAGTTGTAGGGTTGTTTGTCATCAAGCAGTGACATGATTTCTCCCTGTCCAGGGTTAGTGTTCAGTAGCCATATATACTAATAGTTAAATTTTTACATAATTAATTTCAGAATGACATAATAGCATGAGGTCACCATGAAATTAGTTGCTCACCACCAAGTTGCTCACACCAGGTTTCAAATTACAATTATATTACATGTCTAATATATATATTAACATAAATGCACTGTCCAATGCCGTAAGCCTGACATGCACCATTGCATGTGTCATAGTAACAAAGGAAGAGCATGAGATGGCATATATACAGTGTATTGTGTATATGTACTGGACCAGGAAATAGATGTGTCTTGTCATCTACATCAACAAACTGTGAGATGTCCCTGCATGAACTTTTACTGGTATTTCTTTAGACTTAGTAAACATTTCTTTTAAGAGTAAAAGTGTGAGAAATAAAATAAAGTTTATCTTTCACACAGCCTTCATGATGTTAATTAAAATATATATACTACTCTGTAAAAAAACACCAGGATAATAATAAAATGTTACTCAGTAACAGATTTATGACAATAATTACTGTCATAATTTGATGAAATCTAATTAATAGGATAATTTAAAACTCAATTGTTTATTTTTCTCAATTTCACTGCAATTTTCTGATTTTTCCCATGGGTCTATGAAGTTCATGCAAATGCTTACAATTTTTAAACTACTGAAAATGAATAAATGTATTTGTGTATATATGTGTGACAGTGTGTTAGAATGAGAGAGAGATTCAGAGTACAGGAAGTTTTCACTCATGTTGGTCTGTTATATAGTGTAACATTATAGCCATATGGTTGGTGTCTTCTTACCTAACACAACAGGCACCCTGAATCTCATACTAAAATAGTAATCTATCTTTAAACCTCCTTAAAAAACCTCTAAGGGCTCATTCCCATTGAAGCTATTGGTCTCCTAGTACCTTTATTGACCCATCTCCACAGGGACTCTCGCTGAATGCAATCAGTTTAATAGATTAACATGCCTCCTCCTGATGTTGAGTAGAATATGTAAAAGTTAGTGTTTATGTTGCATCCAAGAGGAACTGTGATAATCTGTTAAACAGATTGCATTCAGCAAGAGTCCCCACCATATTGGATCAATCTATGTAGACCAGTAGCTCAGTGGGAATGGGCCATAACATGTTTTTTCAGTTGATAAAAAGGATATATATATGTGTGTGTGTGTGTGTGTGTGTGTGTGTGTGTGTGTGTGTCACTGTGTGTGTGTGTGTGTGTGTGTGTCACTGTGTGTGTGTGTGTGTGTGTGTGTGTGTGTGTGNGACACCTTGCAGAATGCAATCTAATAAAATAAAATTCTGACTGTATCAGTGAGAGTCTGTGTGGAGTTGGATTGATCATTGTAGACCAGAAGTATCAATGAGAATAAGCCCTTATAAACTAATTTAAAGAGGATGGGTAGCAGTTTGATAAAAGATTGTATTGAAAATGAAATCTGCCCTCAACCTGCTAACCTTATCAGGGCTTGTGCTAATATTTCATCTGCAAAAACTCCCTCGCCATTGATCCCCGTGTGATGCCCAGTGTCTGTGAGGGCAAGATGTACCATTAAGGTCACTGGTCTTCCTACATGTCACTTTGTCATGCCAAAGTACATTGCACTTGCCACTTAAGCCAAATTGGGCATGTATCAGTATGAGTACTGTGTGTCTGTTGCTTACTAGTAAATAGAATTCAGAAAGTTTTGATGTCATGGGTCAGTTAGGTGAGATTTCATTACATATCAAATTGATAATATACAAAAAGATGAATTTTGAAATTACAGTAACTGGTTAGAAAAGGAGCAGGGGGTGTACACAAGGGGTGGCTTGAGAATGCTGTTAAGAGCAGGAATAGATTGTGGCCAATATACAGCTGATAATATATATATACTATATGTTTTTTTTTTTCATTTAACAGGAAGCTACTAGTAGATTGTTTTTTCCCCTTACTTCAAAAATTATTTTAAAACAATACAGTGAGAGAAATAAATAGGTATTGAAACAGCACTGTTACTCTCAAAATCAAGTTGTAGGGTTGTTTGTCATCAAGCAGTGACATGATTTCTCCCTGTCCAAGGTTAGTGTTCAGTAGCCATATATACTAATAGTTAAATTTTTACATAATTAATTTCAGAATGACATAATAGCATGATGTCACCATGAAATTAGTTGCTCACCACCAAGTTGCTCACACCAGGTTTCAAATTACAATTATATTACATGTCTAATATATATATATTAACATAAATGCACTGTCCAATGCCGTAAGCCTGACATGCACCATTGCATGTGTCATAGTAACAAAGGAAGAGCATGAGATGGCATATATACAGTGTATTGTGTATATGTACTGGACCAGGAAATAGATGTGTCTTGTCATCTACATCAACAGACTGTGAGATGTCCCTGCATGAACTTTTACTGGTATTTCTTTAGACTTAGTAAACATAAATTTCTTTTAAGAGTAAAAGTGTGAGAAATAAAATAAAGTTTATCTTTCACACAGCCTTCATGATATTAATTAAAATATATATACTATGTAAAAAACACCAGGATTATAATAAAATGTTACTCAGTAACAGATTTATGACAATAATTACTGTCATAATTTGATGAAATCTAATTAATAGGATAATTTAAAACTCAATTGTTTATTTTTCTCAATTTCACTGCAATTTTCTGATTTTTCCCATGGGTCTATGAAGTTCATGCAAATGCTTACAATTTTTAAACTACTGAAAATGAATAAATGTATTTGTGTATATATATATGTGTGACAGTGTGTTAGAATGAGAGAGAGATTCAGAGTACAGGAAGTTTTCACTCATGTTGGTCTGTTACAGTGTAACATTATAGCCATATGGTTGGTGTCTTCTTACCTAACACAACAGGCACCCTGAATCTCATACTAAAATAGTAATCTATCTTTAAACCTCCTTAAAAAACCTCTAAAGGCTCATTCCCATTGAAGCTATTGGTCTCCTAGTACCTTTATTGACCCATCTCCACAGGGACTCTCGCTGAATGCAATCAGTTTAATAGATTAACATGCCTCCTCCTGATGTTGAGTAGAATATGTAAAAGTTAGTGTTTATGTTGCATCCAAGAGGAACTGTGATAATCTGTTAAACAGATTGCATTCAGCAAGAGTCCCCACCATATTGGATCAATCTACTGTATGTAGACCAGTAGCTCAGTGGGTATGGGCCGTAACGTGTTTTTTCAGTTGATAAAAAGGATATATGTGGGTATAATGAGCCTGAGGGGGGTGATTACCTTGGGTTATACTCACCAGTTACAGATATAGAAATATAATAAACATAGGTAGTGATTTACCTGCCAAGACAGGTGATGTTGATAACCTGGAGACAGGAGAACCCACACATCAACATGTTCTAAGTTTGCAAAACAAGAGAGCAAGANGTGTGTGTGTGTGTGTGTGTGTCACTGTGTGTGTGTGTGTGTGTGTGTGTGTGTGTGTGTGGGTACAATGAGCCTCAGGGGGGTGATTGACTTGGGTTATACTCGCCAGTTACAGATGTAGAAATATAATAAACACAGGTAGAGTGATTTACCTGCCAAGACAGGTGATGTTGATAACCTGGAGACAGGAGAACCCACACATCAACATGTTCTAAGTTTGCAAAACAAGAGAGCAAGAGTGTGCCTGCTCGTTTTCACAGTTGGTGTTTGTAGCTCAACTGAAAAACATCCTGGGGCATGTTGCATCAAATAGCATTATTTGATTTGTGTACTAGAACTCTGTTTAAAACAAAAAAGTGAAATAAAGCACATCTGAGGTCATTTGTCAGTGCTTGTATATAAAGGACTGGCAACAACATCTAGAAAATGAGTAGGCATAAATATTATAGTGGTTCAAATGAAGGAACATTTTCTGAAAAGTTGATATTGGATGTTATGATGCATAATTTTAATATTATATATATATATATATTGATTATTATTTTTACACTGAAGATGTTAACATTCATGTGCTGCGTTGTTAAGACTGAGTACAGAAGTGATTAGTGAGTAGGTGTAAATTATCCCCAGCTGATTGCCAAGTATCCTGTTGTAATGTGTTACTGTCTGTGAGAAATCATTTCTGCAGCATACAGTGACATGGACTCTGGGTTCTTGTAATACTGACAAACCTGTCTAGAATATGTCTAAAGACGGTTAGGCCTTAGCCCTACAGCATTGATTGAGGAGTGGCAACTCTGTGTAAACATGGCAGACAGAATTTATTATAATAATATTGCTGTTATTTAAAATCAATTTGTGTGTATAATGAGCTAAGCAGCTTAATTGTAAGATCAGATGTTGTTTTTTATTGTAATTAAAGGAATGGAAATTTCAGATCCACAATGTGGGCAATCTTAGGAGAAAAAAAAAAAAGCATTAAGGATTTAATTTTCCTGGGTTCAGTTGTTAATTTCTCCCACTTATCAAACCAATACCTAGTGCTGCTTTTACTGTAACATTATATGGAATCGTACTATAAGGTAGCCTGCTTTTCAGTTTTATTGCTACCACTTAATAAGAATTTTCTAAATTTTGAGATTTACAAAAAAAGTGTCTGTAAAATTTATAATTTTTCCCATTGAAAATATGGAACCATGTTTATAGTTACTGGCCACTGTTTCTGCTTTGGACCAGAAGATTCTCAGAACCTGATGTTCTGTTGGACCAATTGGCTTTAAAGTTTGTGACACTTTCTGCGATGTCGACTATTGATTTAAAGGCAAACAATTGGAGAGTTGGTTTCTTGGAATTTTGTGTTAACATGATGATTTCTGAGGCAAAGAGTCAGTTTACAAGTGTGAGGCAAGGAAGCAGTTAACAAGTATTGTCTCTTACATTAGAGATATCATAGTTGTGTAGCAGTGCTGTATAACATGTTATTTGATACACAACAAAAACTGTTGCAAATTTATACAAAAAAAATGAAGTTGTTTAGCAGATTAAATCTGACTATGATTTCATCATTCTGTAATGTCCATATATTTATTAAATACAAAAATTGCAATTTCAGAACCTCCACACTAAGAAGAGAAATAGCTGTTGCCACATGCGTACATCATAATAATCAAAATGGCAGCCAATTCTTTCACTAGAGCGAGAAAACGCTCCAACACCGACAGTGCACAGGAGGATGTCCGAATCATTCAACGAATTCATGCAAATCACAAACTGTCCAATGGGAGGCAACAGGGTGGACTGACTAACCAATCACGCGCCAACAGTGACACAAACATTAACGTAATTCAGGATTACTCTCGGTTGGAAGTAAATCGGAGGGAGTACACGTTGGGTTTAGGGGAGCTGCTCACAGTCAGGTGGCACATTACTGAGGAGACTGATGCCGAGGATTGGATAGGGCTGTACTCTGTGGGTAAGTGTATGGATTACTGAGGAGACTGACACTGAGGACTGGATAGGACTGTACTCTGTGGGTAAGTGTATGGATTACTGAGGAGACTGACACTGAGGACTGGATAGGACTGTACTCTGTGGGTAAGTGTATGGATTACTGAGGAGACTGACACTGAGGACTGGATAGGGCTGTACTCTGTGGGTAAGTGTATGGATTACTGAGGAGACTGACGCTGAGGACTAGGTAGGGCTGTACTCTGTGAGTAAGTGTATGGATTACTGAGGAGACTGATGCTGAGGACTAGGTAGGGCTGTACTCTGTGGGTAAGTGTATGGATTACTGAGGAGACTGACGCTGAGGACTGGATAGGGCTGTACTCTGTGGGTAAGTATATGGATTACTGAGGATATGTTGCGGGAATGAAAAGTGGATGTTCAGTATTGATAAATGGTGAAATAGGTTTTTCACAGTCTTGACGTGAATATAGTGAAAAGAAAAGGAAAATGTTATTCTGAAGAGAGTGAACACATTTTTAGCTAAAGGGTTGATACATCATACCTTCTAGGAAATATCAGGCGATATTGCCTGGTTAATATTGAATTGTACTGAAAACTCTTGATAAAAGAAAAAGTGACAAAAGCTATTAGTGGTCTGAAATGCAATAGTTAATGGACTTGTTCCGCAGTAACCTCTTGTTCATTTTTTTATGCAGAATGCAAATACTGAGTAATTATCAAGCTAAAATACCAGTGATAATGCATACTGTATTATTTTATTCTGTGTAACAGTTAGTGTATCCAGTAAACCTTTGAAAGTGTGATATAAGTGTAGATATTTTTCCCCATTCATTCTACTTACATTAACATGGTCTACTACTAGTACAAATTTGTTATACATGCATCAGAGCAATCAAAATTTTCAGTCTTGAAACTTGTCCCAAATTTGAACTTACTAATGAGAACAAATAAGAACCCTGTGTCATTCTGTGACTTCAGACACAGAAGATCCCCAGGCATTCTATGACTACAGGAAGAGAGGGGTCGGCGGGAGCAGTAACGGAGAAATCTACTGGTCCATTGATGAGCAAGAGAGTGAGTTCACTCAGTGTAAGTAGAAAGAGGAATCCAGAAGACGAGAGGCACAGTACAGTAATGACTTGATCATTTCAACAGGAAATAGTGAATTTTACAGATACTGACTGTATTTTTAAGGTAATAAATTTAAAAAAATGATTTTCACGTCAAAAACGTCGAATTTGCGAGTTAGATTGGGAAAGTAATGGCTGCCGTTCAACTGCCTCTTCCATTTTAACCATGCATCTTACGGGGACACAAGTCATATAACAGGCCACCCTACCCGCACAACCATCGACTTCAAAGATCAGGCAAACAAAGAATAAGCCTGCAAAAATGCTTTGCAGGCAATTAGAACATTCCAACCGAGTGATTGCAGCACGATTAAAAAGCAACCTGCCTAATAGCTGTGTTCTATAAAGTAAAAGCATCAAAATGCTGCATAGAAATGTTTCATTTATGATTCAATAATTATGTGTCTGAAAACTTGATAATATTTCCTGGTTAAAATGATTGAGGCATTTCAGTAGCATGTTTCCATACTGCTATTTATTGGAGAGTTAGAGAAGAACATAAAAGATGGTGACTTGGAGGGGGGTGGGGTACAATGTGGTCAAGATCAACCAATTGTTAAAAAAATAATGGCAAAAAAAGCTTGACACATGAATTATGACGACACACACACAATAAGTAGAAGGATAAATAAATAAATAAATAAATAAATAAATAAATAAATAAATAAAAATCATTGTACCTCTGTATCTTTGCTCTGTACCCTGATACAGGTAAATATAGAGATAACTGGCTGCAGATGACTTGCCTGTTCTACCTTTTTCATTGTACTTGTTAACTAAGTACTACCTGTGAACCTCGGGTGTTACAGTGTACTAAGCATGACCTGTGGTTCATATAGTAATGGTGATGATCATGATGACAACAACAAAACAACAACAACAACAATAATCGTTTGTCACCTTTTTTGTATGTGTTAATTAAATTTTTGCATTCTCAACAGTGAGAGATTCTGGGAATTTGAAGGGATTAAGCTGATCCTTTCTCAGGAAATGACACAATTCTTGGTTCTTGATGACTCCGTCCTCTTTTGGTAGAAAGCTGAATAATTTCTTAGAATTGTTCTTTGCGTGGAAAGTAGCATTTTAATTAAAAACTGGCATAAAAAGGATTCCGTTTGATCAACTTATGCCCCATGATCAAAGTATGTAGTGATATTCATTAGACATTATATTTATAATTACCAGTACAAAAGCAACTGTTTATTTCTTAACCATTGTGGAAATTTTAAACCTAGGCAAGTAGCATGCATGGTGTCAGAACAAATGTGATTTCCATGGCAAATACAATTGTAACAATGTTGTGTCCCCCCAAAGAGATAATAAGACATATGAATTTAGAATCTGAAATCTAGTATGTTTCTCTTTCCCATCAGACTAACAGCTCACTGTAGAAATCTAACAAGTTAGTGTGTACGTGGTGAATTTCCTCTCTATGGTTTATGTGATCTCAATCTGAGTAACAGAGTTACGTCTTTTTGCTATAAATATTTCTTTTAAGCCTAATGTTGTGTAAACCATTTGCATGGAATGTCCCGAGGTGGATATTTTTAGAGCTGGTCTGATTCAGAATTGCTTCTACGCTAGATTTTTTTTTTTTTAGTCTGTGTGAACTTTTAAAGCAGAGTATAATTTGTAAATAAATACAATTCTCTACTAGAAGGTGCAAGTATATCTTCCATACCATTTTATAAAGTGTAAAAGTTTCTTGATAGAAAATGATACAGATAATTCTGCTTAGCAAATAGACCAAAGCATGCATGCTGCATCTGCACATGGACACACACACAGGTACACATATGCACACACACACACACACACACACACACACACATGAGCACGTTTATTGCGGTTGAATCTCTTATGTGATGAACAATTTGAAACTATATATATATATTGAGTTGTCAATCTCCCAAATTGAACTGGTCCACACATATTTAGCTACTGCAAGCATCCTTCACCAGATGTGAATAGGATCTTAAGCCAGACTCTTTGCTGTCATTGCATGCACATTTTAATAACACAGTGCCAGTAAAGGCAGAAAAATAATAAGTCATATTTATTTAATTGCTGCTTACTTAGTACATATCATGTCTATGTGATGGTGTGTTCTAATGGAATTGGGAGTCTGGGTAAACGCCTACAGTTTTTGCTCTCACTTGACAGTAACCAAAACATTAATACTTGTAGAAAATTTGATTCACTCTAGAATGAGTTTGCCATTAAATAAGTGAGAAAAATGGTGTGTGTGTGTGTGTGCATATGTATGTGAGTGTGTGTGTCTGTGTTTATTCCCCTGGGCCAATTTGCTCCCTGACTTAAATTGTTAAAGTGTGTTGGGCTGAGCTTCTTCCCTACTGTACACCCAACCTCACCCCAAACTCCCACATCTTTCAACAACTAACCAGATTATTTGAGCCTTATTTAATATACAACTTGATCAGTCACACATTTGGCAAAGTATAAAATAATATTTCACATTTCCAATAGATTGATTAGAATAAGCTTTTAGTGTATCTGGCAGAAACTGTTAGAGTGCACCGAGCATACTAGTAGGTGGGTATGAAACATTAAAGGGTGCTGTATATGTACACAGTCTTCAGTTAAAGGCTTTCTTCTGTACATTCCCTACAAAGATCTGCATCTCCATACATGATGACATGTTCTCTTATATAGATAATGGCCAAATAGCTATTAAGGTTGCCCATTGAATGATAATAGTTCTCTGTCTCATGTTAGTACTTCTTACCATCATGCCTAGGTTATCTTCCTGGCTAATAGCCGTTTGATGATAATTATAAGATGTTCATTGCCAGAGGATTGTTGAAGTGTGTATTTCTGCTTTGCACTGAAGTAGTTGTAATCAATTTATTTTTGTTTGATTAATTACTTTATTAAATACTAAGATATATGTAACTGTAAAGAGACCTGTGATGTTGATTTTGGCACATAATACTCTCTTGCATGTGAGTGCCCACTGACACATACACGCACACACACACATTATTGTATGTAACAGGCTATGAATTGTTATTTCAGTGGAGACCAAGGTATGTCTAAAGTATTACCATGGTCCTAGCTGTACACTGAGAGCTGCCACGCCCACCATTACAGTCCACAACCCTGCTGCTGCAGCACAGGTCAGTGGGGAAATGATAGTCTTCTTCTTTGTCTTCTTTTTCTTCTTCTTCTTTGTCTCCCTCTTTTTGTTATTCTTTACTTCTTCTTCTTTTCCTTCTTCTCTTTCTTTTCCTTCTTTTTTCTTGCTCTTCTTCTTGTTATTATTTTACAAGTGTTCTAGTCTATATTTGATTTGTTTGCTAACTGAAAACACTTCAGTTCACTCTGTGACATTAAACACCTACTTCACACCAATAACTGGCAAAATTATGGCATGTGCAGGCCTGTACTAGGAGGGGGGGGGGGAGGGTGTTCAAAAGAACCCTCCTTTTTGCTGGGAAAAGGTCCATGCTGGGTAAATTTGATCTAGGTTAACTAAGGTTTCATGACAAACGGTCCACATATTCAGAAAAGTAACTCCCTTTTCCCATTGCTGGCTATGGGCCTGATATGTTTGAGTTTGTTTAGTTCCAGGCCATTATGTCTGTATTAGGCTACTTGGTTTTTAGTAATGTCTTGGCTTCAGAATTGCCAGTAGACTCAAAAGTGTATGAACATTTATTGTTTCACAACCCCTTTAAGGATCACACTAAGGACCAAACTGTGGTGACATATAGTTGAGTGAGTGTACAGAATTGAAAGGGTCTTATTCCATTAATTGGTGGGATCTTGGACCAGTATAGCATAATCAAATTCGCAAAGTCAGCTATTTCTGGTCTTAAGCAGTCTAACGGGCCTTATACATCAATGTGAGGTGGACTTCTCATTGCATTTCAGTGGTTAAGATAGCAATTATAGGTGGGCTGTGGTACTTTACACTGTGAAGTATGGTTCTTAAGATCACTTGAGGTCATTAAGATGAGATTTATTGTCACAGAGTTGTGATCTATGGATATTTGTGTCTCAAATGTTGCCCCATAGCATCTTTGGTCATTTTGGTTCTCTTATATATCTTACATAGAGAGATGAAAAAAACAAAGGAGAGATGTATAGATTGTGGAGATTATGGGGGATGGGGGAGGGGGAGGTAAAATTATATTATACTCTACTATATCAGTAGTACAGAGAAAGTTGACATAGTCATTGAATTTTTTCTTTTTGGAAAAAGACATCATTCAAGAATAAATGATAATTTCTTTATTTGGCTGAATTGGCAAGAGCATGTTGTTCTTGAGAAAACAAAGGTTTCAATAATATGACCAATTTAACATTGACATCTGTGGTAACTGCTTATTAAATTCAAACAAATTTTTAAAATTGTTTTGCCCAGATGTCCAGATGATATTGTTTGTAATAATAACTGTTCTGCAAAAGTTCTGAAAAGTTCATCGGTCAGATGTCAGAAAGTACTGTGTAACATTTTTTATGAGTAATAATTTTATAAATCTTGGGAAGGAATGAAATAAAGTTGAAGTGAGGCATTTGAAAATTTTAAGGAACTGATATTGATGCTTTCCCACTAAGACCAGCCAAGAGTGTGTTTGTTGAGAGCAGTGACCCTTGGATTGTGTTAGGTGTGACAGGTGCTTCTGTCACAATCTATACCAGCCAGTGATTTGACACTGAACTTTTGAGTGAAATAGATAATATTGCATCATTCTGTTTTTTTTTTATTGATCAAGTACATTTAGCCAGACCACACACGTTTGCCATAGAAATTCGACTCCCCCCCCCCTCTCTCTCTCTCTCTCTCTCTCTCTCTCTCTCTCTCTCTCTCTCTCTCTGTGTGTGTGTGTGTTTGTGTGTGTGAGAGAGAGAGAGGGTGTACACAGTGTTTAAGTGCATGTTGTGTTAACTTATTGTGTGTGTATGTGTTCTTGTATGTCTATTAAAAGGTATGTG